TTAAAAAAATATATATGTTTGGTTGCCTTATCCCCGTCGACTGGCTAAAAATTGATCAACTAAAAAAAATTAACTATCAGGAAGCATTTTCAAATTTTGAAAATTCAGCATATTGAATTTGAAACTTTTTTTTTTGCATGTTTTGGGAACATATTCTCCCCGAGGCCCTACCATCCCCATTCTTTCATCCTGGAAGAGGGCAAGAAAACATATTTTTTTTAATTCAATGACCTTAAAAAAGAAAAATTGTGTCAGGTACCAAACAAACAAAGAAAATCAAACAACACTTAATTGTTGTATAAATCAAGCTACTTTTTTTTAAACAATACTTCATTATTTCATAGATTATTATATATTTAAATGGATTTTATTTAGCAGTGTATTCTATTCAGCAGAAAACATTGTCTGCTAAATCATGTACATTTCTAAATGTCTTGTTTATGTAGATTTATATCGCGCACAAATATTGAGATAGTGCTAAATCAAATCTGTGCCAACTTGAAACATAAATTTCTGCCAAATATCAAACAAATAAAATATAATACATTTAGAATAAATTCATGGATATGGGTTTGATACCCATGGATATTGAAGATTCCACAGTGCTAGAGAAAATAAATACAAAATATGAATACATGTACTGCTTATGGGCATGAGATATTTGGTTTTAAAAAATTGCCCTTTGAGGCCCGACATGACAATTTTAATTATTTTAGACTATAATTTGTAGGAAGGGTGAGGCATGCAGCCATATAGCAGCATTGCTGTTTGCACTGGATGACTTTGTTGCTAAGGGACTGAAAGATCTACCAGAGGACAGGTCTTCTACAGAAAAATTGTGCCAATGAAACAAACCAGCAAAGAGAAAGACAGAGCCTAAAACTATACACAATATCAGGATAGTCAAGAATGGTCATTATTAATGAGTAATTCACATTCATTATTATTTGTCGAGTAGTATGTACTTTTATGATTAAGGAGTAAAGATCACTAGACAATGAACATGTTGAAGGGTTCTACTATTTATAGGAATAAATTAAGGAAAGATGATACTTGTTTGGAAACATCCACAGTTCAGATACAGCAAAACTCATCTAGTTCGAACTCGGATAAAGTGAACTCACGGATATAGCAAAAACTTTTCCTGGGTCCCCGGCAAAATTTTTAACAAATCATTGTAAAATTTTATGGTTATAGCGAAGTCTGATATAACGAATTTACAGATATAGCAAACTGATTTTGAATCCCGTTGAGATTAAATATAATGAAATTTACATGTTTTATAATGAAATTTCAAAGATTATTAAAAAATTGATAAATTGAACTTACTTTATTTCCTTTTAGCATTTGTCTATATATTTCTATTCATAAGAAAACCATAGTTATTGAAGATATATTTTGTAATACTTGCTTCACTAACATAGTAGGTAATAATACTTGAAGGAAAACATGCATACTGCAAATTCGCTATACTGGTTATACAAATTTGTGATACGGATATAATGAATTTCGGATATAGCAAATTAAATTCACAGGTCCCCAGGACTTTGCTATAACCGGGTTTTACTGTATTTAAGTTTGTTCAAATGATGACCCCTGGGGTAAGGTGGGACTGGCACAATGAGCACACATGTAAATAACCATAAAAATTAAAGCAAGTTTAAGTACAAAAAATATAGCAGTATTGATCTCTTTGTTTCATTGAAAATATTGATTGAAAAGCACACACTGCTAGTAAAGAAATACTACATAATTCATTATTATTGTAGGCAGGAGCCAGGAAAAGTGGTGAAAGGGAGGGAGACCTTGGCATCCTTGAAGTTTGATCCTCGCCCACCTGTAGATCAACTTCAAGAAGAGGAATCCAAATCTCGTTTGACTGAAGCTTTGGAAGGTGCCAATCCAACGTGTGGTTTAATTAAGTATAACAAGCCAGTTCCTGATGTTCCCAACGTTACTGAGTCTTCTCTACTCACCAAAGAAATAGTGTCTACTGTTAAACATTTTACAGATTTTGAGTTGCCTCCAAATATATTAGACTTAAAAAATGCTTGCATGTACTTTAAAGACTCTTTACATTTGGATGGTAATGAAATAGTTGAATTGGAATCAAGAACAAGGGGTCAGTCAAGCTCTCAAGAATGGCACAGCGCTAGAAAATACAGACTCACTGCATCTGACTTTCACAAAGTGTTTGTACGCAGAAGTACAACGGATCCATCAAAACTTCTAAGATATTTTTTATATAACAAAATGAAACCGACAAATGCAATGCTGTTCGGACTACAGCAAGAAAAAAAAGCTACTGAGAAATTCAAATCTAAGTTGGTAGAACAGGGTATACATGACGTTATTGTTGAACAAAAAGGCCTGGTTGTTGATTCACACTGTACATTTTTAGGGGCTTCTGTTGATGGCATTGCTTTGATAAATGGCGAACAATTCGTTTTAGAACTGAAAAATCCTGCTTCAACATGGGACATGGACATACCATCAGCAGCAAAGAAGTTGCCCTGCTTGAAAATGAATGAAAATAATGAGGTCTGTCTCAATGTAAAACATTCTTATTATACTCAGATTCAGGGACAAATGGGAATCTTAAATATTTCAAAATGTTACTTTGTTTTGTGCACTAAGAATGACATTCATATAGAGATGGTTACATTTGACAAACATTTTTGGGAGAGGGTTTTACGTAAACTTACACAGTTTTATGATTATTTCATGTTACCAGAAATTGTTTACCCCTCTGTGAAATTTGGTCTGCCAGCTTTTGATATATCAAAATTTTGAATCAAGGTGTTGTACATATATAGTGTCATGACTCCTTCTCCATTCAAATCCCTTCATGGTACTTATGCGAGAGAAAAGAGAAGTGAACTTTCAAATAACAATGTGTGTAGTGCATGACGTCAACTTAATTTCTACATCTAGGATCATTACATGTATTTGTGTTACAATACATAAGTGATTACATCATGCTTTGATATACAGTATATTATTAAGAATACCATGTTTACTTTTTTCCATATTAAAATGGAGAGGTGTTCCATATGTTAGTGATTTTTTTCAAATCTTGTTAGAAGTTAAATGAGATATTGATGAAAACGCAATGAATTCTCGTATTATCCAAAGTTGATTCCCTCTTTTAAATTATGTAACATTTAGTACATATTTGTCGATCCATTGAACATTGTGGTTGTTTCACACATATATGTTGTATTAACTTTATGTTACACATTAACATTTGTACCATAGTAATTAGATTAAATGAATAATTATTTGACCTTTCTGAATAAGTCAAGGTCAAAATAAAATATTGAAAGCCACATTTAAGTATGTCAGTTTATATTACAGTTATACTGGTAATTAAATTCTTAGAGGTCATTTTAGGTAAGGCCTAGAAAAAAATGTTTGTTTCCGCTTTCCCGACCTACCCTAATTTATAGTGCCGACCCTTAAAATTTTTCTAATGCTTTTGTCCCATGTAGTGCAAGATTTCACCCAGGGAATTATAGTCTCCAACTTCGTAAGCTTTTCAAGACAGAAAGAAGTTTGAGTCACCTTTCTATTATAAGTTTAAGTCACAGAAATGCTTGAAAACACCATTTCTTTTGTCATTAATGTTACTTCTATACACGTTTTGATTAAAGACGTAAAAAAAAAATTTCAAAAAAAAAAAAAAAAAATTGCCTACCAATCTACCCTATAATTTTTTTTCAGCCTGAAAGCGGAAACAAACATATTTTTTTCTAGGCCTAACCTTAGCTTGAAGAAGTTTTTCTGATTGAAAATTGGCTTCTGTCTGTTATCTTCTACTATTTACATTTACATACTCTGAAGAATTGTGACCCCTGACTCTGAAAGGATAAGACATTACTGTGTAGTAAAGAATTATTATTTAAAATCAAGACAACTGGTGGTATGTTGGGATCACAATAGGAGATCAAAGTTTTACTATATGCATAGGATATACTAAGTATAGGGCCACCAATAAAGAAAATGTTTGTTTGATGTCCTCCGACCAACCCATTGAAATTGCCCCTACCCATTAATTTTTTTCAGCACTTTGATTTTTTTTTTAGTTTCTATAGTATACCAGAATTTTTCTAGGATGTATTTTGATTTAAAGTTGTATAGCAATAAATAATCAATTTGTATACTAAGCTATCCATGTAATGCAAACATCAATAAATTTCTGAGTCTGACTTTTATGACAGTAATCATTTTGTCCAATACTGTAAAGCAAAAAAAAAAAAAAATGAAATTAATACCTACCTACCAACCTTGAAAAATGTGGGTGGTAGTACATCAAACAAAAATATTTTTACTGATGGTCTAGGTGGGAAAACTGCAGACCTTTACTGACTTGGATGGAAATATGGCTATTTGTTTCTTACAATTATCAGCTAGTGGCATAACTTTCCCACTATACGTACAGTAAACCATGATTACAGCGAATACCCTTATAATAAATTGATGCTCATACCAAAGTGATTTTCAGTCCCCATATAGAAATAATACTGTAAACTTATTGTATAAAATGAATTACACTTACAACAAAGCAAAATTGTCCCTGGCATTTGTTAGAAGCATGTTTTACTGTAATTTCAGTCAGCCAATTGAATTGAATGCTTTTGCAAATCACTCATAAATTTTGTATAAATTTAATTTACAGTTATGCAATCTGAGAATTAAATGCACAAAAATTCTCTGCATTTCAAAGATTTTAATGTAGCAAAAAACATTTTTCTTGTAATATCAAAGCAAAACATGCATTACAATAAAGTGAAGTATTATAAAGCATGACAGCTAGGAAAAAAATTGATTTCCTTGAATAGACCATTACAGGTAATAATATGCATATGTCCGGTTTACATTGTACAGAGTAACTGAATGTACATTATTTCATCAACTGTCAAGAGTGCAGAACAAATGATATTACCTAAAATCTCAAAAACTATACTTCATTTATTTTATGATAGGAGTCTGAAAATTGATTAACAAGTTTTAAAAATATCATCAGCAACAATATGCAAACTTAGAGGCATAGTTCTGTCTAAAATGTGAAAAGTTTTTATTCTCTGAATCGCTCTTTCGATGTGGATTCTAACCTCAGCAATTCGGTGTGTAGTTTCTACCTGTTCACTGGACAACTGAAAATTTCCATTGCGAAATGGGGGAATGTTTAAACTAGCACCTCTTTTAATTAGCTCCGCATCAATTTCAAAGCCTCGATCGGCCATGACATTGTCACCCAGTTCTATGAGGTCAACTATGCCAGAGTTTTGAACAATGAATTTATCTGATGCAGCTCCTCCATACAAAGTTGACACATAGGACACAGTTCCATCAGGAGTTATTCCAACCAGCGCCTTGTAAGTGTTTCGATGTTTATAAGAACTCCATGTTTCTCGCTGAGCTTTTAAAGCTGAAGGTTTTTGGATAGGAATTTCAGTACAGTCCAGTATTATTCTAGTATTTTCAAACTTGCTAAAAGAATCTGGTCTTAAACTCTGTACCTTTTCCCTACAAGGAAAAGGAAACAGCACTTCCAACTCCAGACGTAGAAAACGAATCCAAGTGTTAAATATTTTTGAAAATAGAGATGCAGAAATATCAAAGCGGTTAGCAATATTTTCAACTAAAAGCCCAAGTTTTAAACGTACTAACACTGCAAAAAATTCATTTTTAAGGCTCAGTTTTCTGGAAGGGCCTTTGTTTTCATGAGTTCGAACTGTAGTTTCATTTCCTTGCCAATAGGTCATTTTAGATGCTTTTGGTTCAAAATAGGTAAATAAAGCATTGAAAGTTTCTAAATGTGGTAAACCAGTGTAAAACTGGGCATTTTCATTACAAGTCATTAAGTTTTCAACACAAAACAATTTCTTGTTTAAACATGCATTTTCTTTAGCAGGTAGTTTTACTTTTTCTTGTAGTTCATTAATAAGTTTTTGGTGATGTTTAAATTGAATATTTGTGAGGTTAGTAGTATGTCCTTCAAAAGTGTCAACTTGAACAACTGTAGAATATGAGGTAGAGCTAATAACAGTTTCAGTCTGTACTGAGGTGTTTCCAGTTTCACACACAGCTTGTGAGGAAGTGTCTGTACAGAAATTTGCACTGTCTAAATTAAATTTGGTTGGTGTCACCCAAAATTTGTAGTAAGTATGATCAGGCGTGGTACCAGGGGATACAGGGAACTCCACTAATACATTGCTTGTATTTTCAGAATTCTGATCATCAGATATTTCAATTTCATTCTGCACATCTTTTAAATCGAGTGGAAATGAAAATTTTCCAGACTTTTGTAAAATTTTTCGTTTATCAGAAATGGCTTTATTCACTGCTGTCGAATAATTCTGAGCCCGTTCGCTGTTGTTCGTTCGTCTTTTAGAGGCAGTACTTATCTGAATCGGTAAATTTTGAGTGGGAATGTAGTCAACATTCGTGGGATCATTGCTCTTTCTACCCGACACAAAATGTAAACCGCACACCTTTGTATTCTCTGTAATTGTCAACTCTCCTCGCTTCTTACCAAGCTTCCTGCCCGTTGCTCTTATCCAGGCATTACGACGGGAAATCGGTGCTGCCGGTATCTGGTGAAAAGCGTGCCCTTTGGGCAAATTGGACCTCCTGTTTGAACAGTTAACCACACAACAATGGTCGTTTTTACCCATACTTTTAGCTGCTATTTTCAACCCGGCATCAGGCATGATCAGCGTCCGACATGTCGCACCCAGCGTGTAAAATAACGTAATCTCTCGCGACATCTCCAAGAAAGCCGAGCACGCGCTGTAATACTATGAAGTAGAGTATTCTTTAAAAAAAATTATTTCAAGTGTGGCAAAATTACACATGTATGCTTAATTGATATAGTGACTTCCTAAAGAAATAAAAAATTCAAATCCCTCTCTCCCCTCGCATGTATACTTTTCAATACTGAGCTGATTTGTGTTTTTTAACTAGCCGATGTGCTCAAGTGGGCGATGTGGCCAACGGATCTCATATTGTTAAGTCGATCCTGTAATGCCTTTTAAAATTAATGTATAAGTCAGTGGAATTGGTATTTTAATTGCATTTCTATGATATCGCAAAATAGTATTTGTGTATCCAAACAATAAGTCTATGATTTCGATATCCATCAAAGTGAAGTACGGTTTGGTTCTCTTTTTAGTAGATTTCTGATATGCCATTATTCGGCCGTTTGTTGAGAGGGTATATCAAAACGATTCGTCAACTTTTCAATAGAGAAAAACAGTATACTATAATAGAACTTTTGCGAAGACACTGACTTTTACAATCGATGGCTTACTTTTACACCAAAAAAATATACGGGAGCTCTTTTGTGAAAAAATATTGATCTCAAAATTATTGGATTCATACCTTGGGAGAGATCCTCGCTTGATTGTGCAAACATATACTTTGATTTTTGGAGTTTAAATTCTACAACATATGATCGACGTCATTTTTTGATTGATTTTTCACACCTCGACTACAAATCGACATTACTTGTGCATCCCTTTTCTCTCCGACTCTCTTTTGGCATTAAAAAAGTACTCTGGATGCATTTTTTTCTCCGTAGCCAGTTAAAACATTTCTTAGGTCTTAACCATTTTTTTTTATCGGCAAAACTTTATAGAATATCGGAAAAGGAAACCCCTCTCCCTTTTTGACGTCATTTTCAAGGCCTTATTTTTTGGACACTCCATGTAAAATTTACGATAATTTTCTATAGAACTTCTAGAATCGGGTATAGATTCCATATTTTATGGAACGATAGCATTTCAACACATACCTGAATTAACTGGATTTTTGGAGGTCAAATGTTCATATCAAAAGATTTTTTCTCAGTTTGCGCCGCCTGGACATAACATTGCTTACAAAAACATCACTAATTTATTATAAAATAAAATTAATGATTTGAGTTTTATTCTATAGAAAGAAAGTATGATGCTTACTAGATATTTTAAAATTCATTGATGTGCCTAAAGCGGTTTTAATTTTATGACGCTAGTCCAGGAACTTTTAAATACCCCCTCGTAGTTTGACCTGAACCACGTGTTCGAAGTAACGAGTAAACATGTATTTGGCGTAGACGTATTCAATCAACAATTGGTCAGTTGCTCATGGTAAGATCCTCTGTGCGCATTAATAGCAATAGCCATATAAGGCAAACAAAGGTTTGTCAGTGCACATGAAATTACACATTTGTAAGAGCGTTTCGGTCGTTTGTGAGCTATAATTTTTGCAGTTAACTATAAGTTGTATCTATTGTATTTTAAACCCCCCCTTTTACACACATTTTTCACAGGACATGTTTTCAGAAGAAACAGACTATAGCAATTTCCTGTTTACTGCAATTTTTTTTTATAAAACCGGATCTACCTTATAACCTTTGAGGTAAACCTAAACCACGTGTCTTAGTTTAAATCACAATAACATTAGTAGGGGTCACAGGGCTTTGGATCGCTTAAAAAAATTGTGTGTGTAAAAAAAAAAAATAAAGGTATTGAACTCTTACACTGGGCACCTAATTTCGCTAATAAAATATTTTTTATTCTAATGCTCTAAAATTCTACTTTCTATTTAAATCTATTTATAGATAAACATTCTTCAATTCTACCAAAGCTCATTCCGAAATTCCATATATTTCTTGAGATATTTTGAAATCAATTTCAAAAATGAACTACTTTCTTTTACTCGACATTAGCTTAGGCCCTTGGTCATTCACATGTAAACAGACGGTGTTTGAAGTGCGGCGAAGAGTTGCATAGTATTTGCAAAATCTTTCAATAATTTAAAGTTGATTTCTTACTCCAGATTTTAACGTTAAGTCCGTAATAATATTCCTTTCGAGAAAAATTATTTTAAAAACGTCCACATCAAAACTACCGCCATGTTGATTATGAATGTAAATGAAGCCATGGTAGAACGAATTTTTCCAGGAATGCATTATATACCTTTCAATTTTCAAAACAATTAGACCGCTAAAATGTTGTTTGTAACTTAGTTACACCATATGATCAAATTAAAGAAAAACCTTGTAAAGCTTGAATGCAAATGAGCAAAAATTCATTGAGTTTAGAATAAATGAACTGTAGCGAGATAGCGCTTAAATCTGACACCGTAAATATAAGTAACTGGATGGCTCTCAATAAATGATACTTTTGACCCCCGACAACTTTCTGATCTTTTTTTAAACCAATTGATTTTTAAATTAAATGATGGACTCCGTAAATAATTAAAATAAGATTCAAATATCTTGAGATGATGGTTTATTTTGACTTAATCTCTTAACAAACAAATCAATTAAAGTTCAAACACTTACAAGATTCAATCAAGAAAGTACAATTAAAAAAATCAAAGTGGCTGCAGACGTCCCTAAACCCTAAATTTACCCAAAAATATTGAGCTTCCCTAAGACATAATTAATTTCTAAAACGACTCTAATAAATAAATGCTAAAATATTACTTCTCCAATTTACTGAATTAAAAAGATTGAGAAAATTTCCCCAAAGTTATTAAAATTTCACCTACATCCTATCTTAAACCCAAAATAATCCGGAGTCCCCGTTATACAACGGTAGCTCACTTATATACCCTCGGGAAACGGTCCCGTTCTAAAACACAACGGAATCCGTTGGAAAGCAACGGAATTCCAGCAGGAAAATACAACGGAAAATAGTTCCCGTCTATTAAAAATTACTTTAACAAGTATGAAATATGAATAAACAATAACTCTAATTCATTAATGCATCATAAAACATAATTAATTACCTTAAAGCTCATTTTTCCATGTAAAGGCAAAAATCGGTCAGCGCATAAATATCAGATGCGCGGATCAAGAAGTAAACGAAAATTCACCCATAATGCATTGCGCCGCCATGTAAATAGAAAACAGACTGTCTGCAGTTTACAACATGTGCTTGCATATTACAGGTAAAATATTAGTGAAAAACGTAATTTAATCAAAACATCTAGTAGATCTTACTCTTTTTACAACATTTATGCAATTATTTCAACAAGGACATTATTAAATACGAAAGGACATGCATGTATTACATATACTCGTTCTACTTTCACTTTGCATACGAAGACATGAAAAGTTGTGAATCCAATTTTTGAACATCACCTTATAAATATACAATACATGCGGTCAAATTACTCAAATTATAAATCATTCATAGGATTTAATTAATATGCCAATATTTGTATTCTAAATACAAATAAAATATGGAAACTTGAAATGACCAAACATTACATTTACCCCTCCGTTTAAAATTTCATGTCCCCATGAACACTAAATCATATAATATTTCAATAACAACAAACTTTTATAACAAATTATAACATATGATACATAATCAGTGAACTCACTGCATATAATGAATACATCATTCGCCCTACTCAAATACCATGAATACTGCATACAACTCAACTTTTAATGAGTACAATTAATTAAAAATGAAATTCATAGATGGCACATCTTTCAAAATATGGCACATAATTTATAATAGTTAAAAACCACCCACCAACCCATCTAAACTGTCAAATTGATCCCTGTTAATTCAAATGTACATAATCAATTAACACATTAAAAAAATCTATGATGAACAATAAAAATAAACATCCATATTACATTCTGTGATAATTAATAACCTTTCAACTAAACTGTTCACATTTCACTTCCTGAATCTCTTAATTGGTCCGTAGTTTTGGAAGGGGCTGTTTTCTGTAGTTCCTAACGGGTGAGCTCGTAAATCTTCCAGGTTCCTCATCTCATGAATTCCTGTCTGGTGATCTCAATCTCCTAGGTGCCTCATCTCTTTGAAATTATAGTTCCCCTCTGAACCTGTAGTTCATGGTTTATGTTCCTCATAGGAAGGATAATTCAGGCAACAACATCCGTAGGTGTCTAGTCATGATAGGGCTTAAGCTTGTCATGATGTATGACTTTCTGGGTATGCTTGTCAAGGGATTTCACTCTGTAAGTAAGATCTGAGATTTTCTCCACAATAGTACAAGGTCCCCAGTAACAATTACTAAGTTTCCCTGTGTCAAATTCATTTAGAACCCAAACTTTGTCTCCAACCTTGTAATTATTGAGAAAAGTTTTCAGATTATAGAAGTGTCTTTGTCTCTCTGCAGAGCTATTTAAGTGCTGCCTAGCTATCTTGTGTGCTTGTTGTAAACGATCCCTTAGTGATTCCACATATTCCCCATAGTCTACCACAGAGTTATCTTCCTTTGTTCTACTGCCAAAAATGATCTCTGTAGGAATTCGCACTTCGCGTCCTAGCATCAAAAGATTTGGTGAAATACCTGTTGATTCGTGTACACTTGATCTGTATGCTGCACCAAGGCATCCTAAATACAAGTCCCAGTCTGTTTTGTCATCTTTGATATAGCACTTAATCATTTTGAGGAGTGTTCTATTGAACCTTTCAGTTTTCCCATTGCATTGAGGGTGACGTGGGGTAGTTCAAGTCTTCTTTATTTCAAGAAGTTCACATAATTCATGAAAAAGATTACTTTCATAGTTACGACCTTGATCTGAATGTATTGACTCTGGACAACCAAACCGACTTATAACCTCATTTAATAGTACCCTAGCTGTTGTGACTGCTGTCTGATCTGGAATAGGAAAAATTTCAACCCAGTTACTGAAATGATCAGTTGCCGTTAAAATATATTTGTTTCCTCTTGGGGTCTCTGGCAATGGACCCAGTATATCAGTGGACAATCTGTCCATAGGAGCTCCTACAGTCAT